AAACAAAAGGCAAGGTTTATCTCCTTAAAATGTGAGAGTACATTTCAAATTATTCTGTTTACTGGTTTAAGAACAATCACCTCCCTGCTCATAATATTGATGTCTACTGGTTACGTAGGAAGAAAGGAGAACACACATTTAACGACACTCAACCACATGACAAATACAGAGACACACAAAATACGCGAATAGCACAAATGAATATATTATAATCAAAAAAGAAAACACTATTATGAAAAATACTCACATACTCTAAAGAATAGAGTGAAGCTTCAGTGAAGAGACAAACACTTGGCTGTGTAAATAAGCAGTATGTATTAGAGCACTTAAAAGAGAAAGTTTTCAGATAAGAGAGAGTATCTGCAAAGCAGCAGCAATGGCATTAGTTCAGGCCTTCCCCAGGTTGAGTTCACCATCTAATTCATGTATTAAATTGTGAGGGAAGGACAATGAATATTATATACTGATCATAAAGATTAACAAAGAACTGAGCTAAGAATTTCAAGTTTCACAATTTTACCCAAAAAAGGTATATGTATATGAATTGACTAAATCATTGGCTCTGGCCCAGGAGGCCAAGTGCCCAAATAAAATCCCAACCAATCAGTCCCTTCTTAAGAGACCATTGTTGTTTGGTCAGTGATGTGAGGCGAGGACGCCACCTGTACAGAGGGGTCTAAAGAGATATGAATATTTGGATCACACCATTCATGTCTGAAAAAGTAAGTTTCTCACAGAGATATTTTAATTAGGTGAATTCTCTTGCAAAGATTAAGTTCTAGCAACGAAATGCCATCGTTAAATATGTTCCTACTGACATGCTATCAAAATCAAAGAATGTGGTATATTGTATCCATGAAGAATATTTTTAGATTCAAAAACCATGACATGGTCAAATGAGGTTAGATGAATAAATATATGGACGGATCAAGAAATCAAGATTTATAAAATATTTTCCGGTTTGCTTAGATTAGACTTACATTTAATGTTTGATTAAAATGCTATAAATATGTGTTGATATGCCCAATGGATTCAAACTGAATTTTGTTTCCTACTCAACATAACTCATAAGTAAAATGCTTCAAAAGATTGGCTAAGATACTATGGTGTGGGAGAAAGAGGAAGAAATTACTAAAGCAGTTATTTGTCCTTTGGAATTATAACATGAGAATCAACATTCCCAAATCCAAGGATCCATATTCCATGATCTATTAGTTTTGCTATCCACAAAGTTGATAAAAACTGTGCTATTTCTGTCTTGGAAATATCAAAAATGTCTATTTTGGGCTCCATATCCGGGGAATTACTTAATACGTAACAAATTAGAGGAATCGCCATTTTCCCCAAAGCACCAACAGAGGGATTTGAATTCACTAAGCAAACAGCCTCCTAAAAGATCTGTTGACATTAAAGAATTTTAATAATCATTTAAAGTTATTAACCTTATTTTTAAATAGTAAAAATTGACTCATCGAAAGTGTAAAAACATTAGTTCACAAAATCATTCATCTTATGGTTTCAACATAGCTTAAAGACCATATACGGTCTTAAAAGTATCCCTTTAAAAATTTAATTAGAATTTACCAAGGCAAAATTACATTAAAATTATATTAAAGGAAAGAATATATAAATGAAATAATTTTTAACTAGAATAAGTTTTGAAGGACTGCAAATAAAATAAGCACGTGGACTTTTACAATCCTATCTCTTTTTTTTGTTTTGGCGGTACACGGGCCTCTCACTGTCGTGTCCTCTCCCGTTGCAGAGCACAGGCTCCGGACGCGCAGGCTCAGCAGCCATGACTCATGGGCCCAGCCGCTCCGCGGCATGTGGGATCTTCCCGGACCAGGGCATGAACCCGTGTCTCCTGCATCGGCAAATGGACTCTCAACCACTGCGCCACCAGGGAAGCCCTGCAATACTATCTTAATCATGCCTTTTCCTATCGCTAATGAAAGATCCTGCTTTTCAGTGTGCAAACCACCCAGGTTTTCATTTGTTTCCATTATAACAGACCCAGATGTGTTTGTGTGTGGTTGTTATTAAGAGGTTAGACACTCTTCCCTTTCTTTCTAGTACAGCTTGCAAAATTCAAAACAACAGTACTAATTCAGAAGTCAGCATTCTGAACTAGAAGTAAAGAATAATCTTTAAATGTATTATTTAGATCTATGTATCCCACCTGATACTTGGGATCTATGGCCAATTGCCATGGCTTAATCTTGCTGACCATGTTAGCAAATAGGTTCTAGGATACAAGATTTTAAAAGAAGGAAAAAGTTCAAACTTGGGATCTCAAATTGTCGCTGTATTCATTTGCTTTCAGAAGAGAAAGGTTTTGTATTTACTATCTTACTCTGTTTTGTTTTCAAAAGGGAGAATGTTTCATGATAGAAAAATGTTTGAAGCATTTCTTAAATCTCATATTTTGCTCAAATTAAAATTAGTCCAACAACAGTCTCTCTCCTAAATTTGATCACGCCTATGGCTGGTCAAAAAACTTATTTGAAAATACAGTTAACCCATTCCCCTTCCAAAAAAACAACTAAAAGTCTGAATATCAAATACATGCTTTGTAAGTGTCAGAGATTAATATGTTTTGTGCAAGGAGAAGTGTTTTTCAGTATTTGAAAAATTCTTTGAATGGTCTCATGCTTGATAAGATAAATACTGACAAGATATGCAGTGAAGCTGTAGCTCAGGACAGAATAAACTATAAATATAGGTTATTGCCTCCTCTTATTTTTTAAAATATGAATTCCTGTTACAAAGAATCCCATATTTCTAAAATTAATGTAACTATTTTGAATCTCTCTATGATTTTATAATTTATACTGCTGAGATCAAGGTCTGATTAGCTTCAATTTTTACAAATTTAAACAATGAGAAATATCTACAAATTTAAAAGCAATTAAACTTCTATTAAAACACTTGAAAAACCAACTTTCTTGTCTTCTCAGATTGAACATTCTGATGAATAATATTTTAAGATCATGTCCTATAGTTTCCTGAAAAAGATATCAACTTTATATAGTCAAGTTATAACTATAAAATCATATGTAATCAATAAATGCCTATAATATTTCATTAAAATACTTTGATTTTGTTGCTTTGATTTTGTTCATCTGAGATCCTCAGTACAACAGGCAAACGTCAATTAAGACAGCCAGTTCCTGCAAACAACTTTGGACTAAGAAGTGAAATATATTCAAAATAAACAAAGAAGTAAGTAATAAAGAGGTAGTAAAAACATTAATAGTAAGTAACTGATATGAGAACATCTCAGGGAATTTCTTCCATTTCTGCTTTACAAATAGGAGAAACAGAGAGAACTAAATGATGGGGTTAGGTTATTTAACACCTACTGAGTTCTTAGAGAGGGATCTAGAGAAAAATGTAGGAAGCCACAGGCTAAAAATCTTGACCTTAGCAGTGGGAGACACACTGAAAATTCTAATAAGGGCAGAACAAGGGAACACCTGGACAGTTATTTAATTAAGGATCTCAGCATGAGTCCTGAGATATCAGGATGAGAAATTATTTCAAGATTTAATTATAAAGGCTGACTGTCCCAAATGCCAGAGATATACCTTCTCCTCTATGTTTGGATTCTTTATTTTGAAACATACAGACTTGAGTATGGAATATAGAATCAGAACTAATTAAAACAGCAACAATAACAACAAACACTGGTTAAGAGCGCCTAGTAAAGACACAGCTGGAAGAAATGCCAAATTAGGTACAGGTACTTCTTCAGGCACCAAATTGGTATTTTAAATGCAGTGACTACTACCTGGAACACTAAGTGTGATTACAAAATGAAGCAAAAATCTAAGTTAAAATCACTGGCTTTCTTCAGTGAGGTGAAAAAAGTTATGACTTTATGTAAATGACTTTTTTTAAATATAGGAAGGTGTGATACTAATCTCAAGGAAAGGACTAGTATAATTCAGAATATACTGCCCCAATTAGGCTGAATCATAGATCCCAGTGGTTAGAAAATATCTACAGCAACCAAGAGAAACCCAGAGACTGTGGTGGATACATATAACTCTGGGATCAATATTCCTGAGGATTAATCACCAGACAACCAGTTGCTTATTCTAAGGCTTTCTAGAAGTCACACACCTATGTTCCTATTCAAAAATGGAAACCACTTCCCTTACCTATGTCAAAAAGCTGTTAGCTGAATTAACCATCAAATTTCTAAAGGAATGACAGAAATCAGAATTCTTTCCCAGGCCCATGAAATTATGGTCTATATATTGTGTTAACCTGCCACAAAAAAAAAAAAAAAAAAAAAAAAGGGAAAAAAAAAAAAAAAAAAAAAAAAAAAAAAAAAAAAAAAAAAAAGGAGAAAAGAAAAGAAATGAAGAAAAAGTAAAGAAAGAAAAGGAAAAGGAATTTCTAAAGTGTGTTACAATTATTCAAGAACAAGTTTTTCTTCCTTTCTAGACTATAAACTTCTTGAAGACAGACAATTACTTATTAATCTTTATGTTCCCTTCAGCGCCTAGCAGAAATGCAGTTAATATCTGTTAAAGAACAAATTAATTATTACCAACCTTTTCCTAGGTCATAAGATTCTTCTCATAATTGGCCCAGACAGTCCTAACAAGCAAATAAACATAAGCTTCTACCCATGATACTATTAGATGGTAAAATATAAAGCAGCAAGTAGTTTGTGACAATAAAACTAGCATGTGTATGCTACCTTGGAAACCATTAGGTTTCCACCAGGTTGTGTTAGGCAAATGGCAGAAGGAAAAAAAGATAAGGTTTATTCTGCTTACGCATCACATCAGAAAAGAATGCTTAGACTACCACCAAGTCAATATTTTCTACATCCACTTATACAATTGTATACAACATCCCTGAATAACAAACAGCTCTATTGGTGCTGTTTATAAGAGAAGGGTGCATTTGCAGCATTTTAAATTCCATTTTCAAGGAGAAAAATATCTAAGTATAATCAGACGAGAGTAATAAAATACACTGACCTGGATCTGTTGCTGCAGGAGATTAATTTTGTGCTGCTGTTGCAGAAGTTGCTGCTGTTGTCTTGCAATCTATCAGAAATAAAGTTTCATTAAGTTAAAATGAAATGCTTACACCTTTGCCATTACCTCAGGTACCTCTCCTGGTATTACAAGGATGCTTTACTGTACTTCTTCATGAAAGAGTTCCTATAAAATGAGAGAGGCAGAATCAGAAAGTTGGAGAAAAGGAAATATTTCAAACAGGTGCCATCTCTCTGCTTGCCCCTAAATCTTTACCTGTACATGAAAACTACCCCCTTGTATTACATTTGTGAGCAGTTCATCTATATCTGCACTGGTCATCTGGAAGGAATGGGAATTTCAAAATCTCATCCTTGAAGAATAAAAACAGGAAAACTCTGCCTACATTTTTCTAAGGAGCTTAATTTGTATTTAAAAAGTAAAATCTGTAAGCAAAGATAGGAAAGAACTTTCTATTACTTATAATATGGCCTACTTTGGTGAAACCTTTTCTACTGTAAAGATTTTCAGAACTGATAACACAAATACTGTCAAGGGAGTGCCAAAAAAATACAGCAAAAGGCAAAAACCTTTATCTTTTTTTGTTGATATAATGTGTAATGTACAAAGCATTTTAAAAACAAACACAATTTAATATTTATTCACGTCTTTTTGAGGGTAATGTGTTAGTTTTACAGTACAGGATCCACATACAAGTTTTGTATTCCCTGCTTCACCCAACAATCAAATTCAACATCTTAGCACATCATCTCATCCGTAAAAAAGAAACATTAACTACTTAATGCAAGCCCTCCTGAAGACTGAATCTGCCCCTCAGGAGAGCAGGGAACTTCTGTAGGATAATGGTGTTTACTATAAAACAGGAGTTAGGTGTCAGGCTACTTATTACCTCAAAATCTGAGCTGCTGGAGTTTGAAGCCCATTGGAATGCCCCTTAGTGAGAACACACTCACTGCCAACCTAGGAAGCCAGAGAAAAAAAATGGCCAGAAAGCACTTAGAAGGACTTGGTTTAGTGGTGCCCTATAGGCAAGAGTTATGTTCTTCCTATTTCTTCTATTTCCAAAATATTCTAGAATGGACAATGTTGGAAGTAGAAATGGGTGTGAACCAGCCCTCAGCTGTATACTTCCTGAGTCCTTTTAATATTTTAGCATAGAGTAGAGGGACACACCCAAATCACATTCCTTTCAGCAGAAGATGACAAATAGCAATCTGCCCCCAAATGTGGCTTAATGGTTTCTGGTGATGAATGGTTCATTCTAGAAGTCATGATAAAGCTACCCCTAACGAAGGGTACAGTTTGAGAAATGGGATCACTCCTCCCCAAAGCTTTATAAGCAAAATGGAAACAGTATTTAATCAGTTTGGAAAGGCCCACTCTGCTTATCACCACTCAAATCAGAAATGGACAACTCACTCTGCAATTCTAGGTATACATGCTGGATCTCTGAATATTTATTTCCTCTTAGCCATCCAGTGAAACACCACTAGACATCTAATATTGATGGCCCCTCCTAAATGATAAAGTGCTGCATAGAAATGCATCCAAAACACCACAGTGCAATTACTATCATCCACTCTAGATGTATGGGTTTGACACAGTGAAGCATGGTACATAAGCACCATGTGGCTCAAATTCTGAATTTTATTTGCCAATCGGTTGAGCTACATGCTCGCTTCATTGAGCATGACAACCTAGTTTTAAGTGTCATTTAATTTTCATTTTGAAATATAATTACAAAGTGTTCACTGTAAGATATCACTCGTCTGCAAATGTGTCAAGATTAATTTGTGCTAGCTTATTCACAAGTGTCAATAGTTAATTACTGTGTCATCTCTGGATAGCTAAATGACATTCTAACTTCTGATTTTTTACAGTGTTCCTTTATGTTATTTTCCATTAGGGGCTGAGTCCATATTCCTACATGTGGGCAAATATTCAAGCATATAAAATACTAGACGTCACAACTCATTAAAATCAACAGAGCATATATTGCTCTATATACCCCTATAAAATACATTTAACTGAAAAGATAATTCCAGTAATAATGTCAGATTCCTAAAAACTGCACATTAATTTGGGTCTATCTGATCTAAAGCATCAGGGACTACTCTATAGGATCATTGTTATTAGATTAATGCACTCTTATGAGACAGGAAAAACATTTGGGAAAGTGATTTATTTTTTAAAAGATACACACAAACTTTGCTATTTTTCTCACTTCTAAGTCAATGAAGTCAAATTCTTCCATGAGCCATGTGTTAATTTGTTTTTAATGATTTACCTATGCTATAAATAAAGTGACCATATAATTTATCATCCAAACCAGGACAACTTTTGCAAGTGGAAGAGGGGAGTATTAATAATTACTTTGGAAAACAGACATTAACCAGAGCTATTCTGGAAAAGCTGAGACATATGGCCACCCTAGCTTGAACCAGTGAACTGAAAGATTCTCAAAGCTTTTCTAGACCAGGATCCTCCTTTTCTGGATGAGAGAAGAGTAAGGCCCAGAGAGAAGCGATTTACTCATGGTTAAGCTACATTGGGAATATACGTGATGCCTACATGAACAAGTATCCCCAAGTAATTAATCAAATCCAAATGTTCTGGAACAATGTTATCATTTCAGTTATGCCCAGTTGCTATGACGCCTTTCTTTGTCCTCCACATATCCCCTCAGTATTCTCGGTGACCCTGGATTTCCAGAAGGCTTCTTTCTTTCATTCTTTTTTTAGGAAGGCTTATGACAAATAAACCAATCAATGTGATTACTCGCTGAGCTTGGCACTTTCCACACCTCCAGTTCATCAGCTCCTTTTGCAGGGCTCACCTGTTCTTGCTGTTGGCGAGCAAGGTCCATTTGCTGCCGTTGTTTCTCAATTTGTGAGGCTGCCAGTTTTTTCTGTTCATCATGCGCTGCCAGGAGCTGCTCCCGTAAACTGATCAGCTGGGTAATCATGGTAGAGAGCTGCCGTTCTTTTTCTGCCAGGCTCTCAGGTGTACCTAAAATGGAAGCGAAAAGATATCTCACAAGTTTGAGAAAATTCTGAATGAATTAGGGAAGCGAGTGGGTGGGCAGATTTAGGAAGGGACTACCCTAAGACACTTAAATATCTGGGACAATAACTGGAGGTCACTGTAAGTGCAGGAACTCTATGGAGTAGCAATGGAATGAACGCTAGGGTTAGTCATCGCCCCTGCCAAGAGAAAGGACTGTTGTCAATAAAATTCTCACTCACTCTTCCCTCTTGCTCTTTAAAACAAAACAAAAGAAAACAAAACAGAACAACCTAGTCCATTCTCTCCCTTTCACCACATTCCCCTTCCCTCCCCACCCAAATCTATCTGCTCAAGCTAGTAATCTTATGCTATTTAGTACCAAAGATTAGAAACTATGGGTTGTATTAATATTCTATAACCAACCTCTACCCTCAATGACTGACAGAGGACCTAAGACATAATAGGTGCTTAAATAATGTTACTTAGGAATTTTCTGATCACTGCCCTCATAAAATTTTTCTATTGTGCAAAGATCTGTCTCTGAATCTCAGAAGTCAGGGGTCACTCTTGGCCATGGGATGAGTGCTACAGAAAGAAAAAAAAATCTGTCTTGCCTCAGGTAAGAAAGAATTGAAACTGATTTTTTTTTCTGGTGAGGGGATCAAGCTAAAGTTCCCAAGTTCATCCTTAAAGGCAATAATGTTGCTTAGGGGGCTCCCTCACCCCTTTGTCACTCTTTTCAAAAGGAAAAAACACATTCGAGGTTGAAAAGGTTATGATGTCGCTGCACACCTACGATATGCACTAATGGTGCTGAACAGCCTATTTATGGGCAAATTGCACAGCTCTCCTAAGTAAAGGGTACAGGATCCTTTTGTGAATCTAAATTAGAGCATTTTGCCATAGCATAAGATAAGAATTTCAACACACAACCCACTGTATTTGAGCACACAGGTTTCATTATGAAGAAATGATCTATGCTTTGAAAGCTTTTCAGAAAGATGCCACCAGCTGTCAAAAGAGATAAAGATTGCCAGTTTTTGTGTGTGTGGAAGAGGGGACTTCCAATTTCTTTATGAAACCCCCCTCACTCCTGCTAGGAAAGCACCAGGACAATTTGAGAAACTGAACGTATTTTAATTAGGAATGGGCCTATTTTTTGAGTGGGCCCATGGGAAAAGCAAGCCTTCAGGTGATGCTGGCTAGCACTTACTAGTATATGATTCCCACAAGGTAAGGCTGATAAGCTACAATATTTAGAATTGCCTTGGTATTCTTAATGCCAATTCAAGTCCTTAAAAATAAATAAGTAAATACATAAATAAACTGTCAATATCCCATATCCCTTAAAGATTGACTGAGCTGAAAGGTGGCCTAAAATTAAAATTAAAAGAAAAATAAGATAGTGAAATGATGTTAGAAAATGTACTCCACTGATAAGGAAACAAATACTGCATCAAGGATAGTGACCAGCTGTTCTTTCTAGCTACTGAAAGTGATTTTTTTGGATGAGTTTTTTTTCAGCAATAGGAAACTCAGCTTGGTGAAAGAAAACTTCTTGATCCAGAAATGTTAAAATACAAAATCAGGTTCTTGGAGGGGATCATAAAAATCTCCTCCAAAGCACAACATGCTCAACTAATATAAATGTCAATGATATATAGCAATGAGAAGACATAAAACAAGTATGGAATTTACTTACTCATTTCATTAAATTTTAATTAAAAAAATATTTCTTGAATCTCAGGTACTATATCAAGAACTAAGGATACCGATACCATACCAAGAAAAAGCAAAGTTCCCTTTCACCTTAATCAAATAATCATACATATAAATGTAAACTACAACTAAATAAGAATTATAAACAGGACAGACATTCGGGGGGAGATTTAACCAAGTGTCGGAGGCTCAAGGGTAGGGAAGTTACGCCTGACAAAGCAACAAGCTAACAGAGTTAACTAGGCAAAGAGCTGGAGGGTGGTCAAGGAGCTTTTCAGTAGGAGAAAACAATATAGGCAAAGGCCCTGTGAGGGGGCAGCTGGTGGTGGAGAGTGTCAGTGTGTTCCAGAAATTGAAAGAAGGTAGTAAAAACTTAAATAAGAAAAACAAAGGAGAGTAGAGGACCAAATGAGGCTAGAAAGGTAGGAAAAGGTCACACCATTCAGCTCCTTATAGACCACTGGATGAACTTCATGTTTATTCTAAGAAAATTTCAAAATCACTAAAGTACTTTAAACAAGAGATGATGTGGGTGTTCTGGCTACAGTGTGGAGAATAGTTTGGAAAGTTATGAGAATAGATAAATGGGGTTTATTACATATACTTTTTGGCAACATTCTGATCTACGTGTAATTATCTTGTTATACGTATGTATATGAGGTGAGTTAAGAGAAGACTTACTGGATACTGGGAAAGTTACTGTACCATAATTCTTTGTTAATAAAGAAGAGCATTCATTGGAAATTTTGGGCAAGGACCAATACAAGAGTCAAATTTGGTATTTAGATTCTCCAATAAAGACTGGAAAATTTTCTCTTCTCTCCCAGGTTAAACTTTGTCTTTTCAAAAATCTTCAATATATTTCCCTTTCTCCTCTGCATAGGAAACAGAGAAGCTGAAGACAACACACAAATGGCTTCTTAGCCTCTTCTGTTCAAGGTGAAGCCAACAGGTCTATAAATGCATTGGTGCTTCCAATACTAATAGACATGTATTTCTGAATTTACAGAATAACACCATTTAACTGAATCTTTTTACAAATCAGCACGACACTCAAGTTGTTTAATTATAAAAATTCAATAACACCTAAATAAGTCTTTCATTGAACTTAAAAGATACATGTTTAAGAAGAAGACAAGCCAGAGATCAGTATGTTTAAATTGAAGAGTTGGGTACTCATATAAGGCTGTCATTATCTTTTCCTTAAATTTGAGAAGCACATATATATTTTGAATAGATGTGAGTGGCATGACAAATGCAGTTGGAATGAAATGTAGTAGTAAAACACATCTAAAATTGCCCTTGAAATGGGAAATACACATATGGATATATATGTATACACACACACACATTAGCCTACACATTTAGAGAATGTAAGCTGTTGTATGGTTTAAATTGATTTCTAGTTAATATGATCCCCAAGGGACTATATATATATATATATATATATATATATATATATATATACACACACACACGTGTGTGTGTGTGTGTGTGTTCTTTTCTGTTCTATACCCATTGTATTTGTTCACATATAGTGAACAAACCCAGGTATTTAAACCCAGGTATTTAAAATCCATGGTGCTGGATTTTTGTTTTAATTAACAGCAAATATGTATGCAGCTACAATAAAAGCAACATCAAGTCTAAATCATGCTGACCAACCAACCTACGAACACAAGTTATCTCATCTCAAAAATACTAGTTTAATTGAACATGAAACTTTGCCATAGCAAAGGAACTACAACTGTGAGAGTTGCTGAAAAAGCAGACAATTTATGGGACATAGTGGGGCAGCCTAAATACATATTAAGGAAGGCAAACGACCAAACATTGGGTTGGCCAAAAAGTTCGTTTGGTTAATAAATACATTGTTCAGTAAAGTTCTTTGTGAAAATGAAAAATGTGTCTTTTATTTTTACTTAAAACTGAATGAACTTTTTGGGCAACCCAATAGAATGCTCTTATGAGGTAGGCTAACTCTATGTAGAAAATCTTGTCTTAAATCACGCTTTGAGGTTTGATAAAATCCACTTAGAAAAACAGCAGATCAGATCCTGAAGATCTGCCCAGGCCAGCAGAGGTCATCAGTAGCTGCCTACATCATCCGTTTCACATCCTTCAGGCTATCTTAAAATGATTCTCTAAAAAGCATTGCCAGAAAATAGTCTCTCCATAAAAACATAAGTAGTTTCATAAACCAAAAAAAGGGAACCAGAAAAAAGAGCTTCCATACACAGCTTCTCTACAAGTTAGGGCGCCTGCTTTTATCCAATATCACACACAGTGTGCGCCTGACACTCTCCGCTATAAACTGTATCTATTCTCCAACTACAAAGACAGTGCAGTAGGGGGGTTTTTTGGTGTTTTTTTGTTTTGTTTTTTTTTCCATGGGGTCGTCTTTATCCCCAAACCACATCTGTCTTGAGTTTCTCTTAGATTAGTCAGGTGGATCAGTGCTCCCCAGGGCCTGCTCCAGCTGAAGTATTTTAATTTGACTAAACACCTGATTTATTTTATCTCTCCGATGAGAAAGGCAGTTTGTCTTAATAGAGCCTGTCAGCCCACAGCCCCATTCACAGCAATTTACAGGCAGCCAGGGACGCTGGAAGAGAAGACTGCCGTGATTCTGTATTTTATCCTCCTCCAGAAAGCACCTAAAAGCAGCTATTCACTGCTACTGCATGTGGCATTTTAGAACTGAATTAGCTTTTTATTCAAGTAACTACACTTGTTGTGAATAGCTTATCTGTAAAATTGCTACATTCACTACTGATTTTATTAACCTTTGGCTCTATCACAAAATGGTCTTCAGTTAGGAAAGACCTTTAAAATTGACACATTTTTTTCTTAGGGGGCTTTATTCCAGTGACTTCAGATTTACTGAGTTTGATCCATTGAATTTTTACCAGTTGTACTTAAAATTTTGAGTCTCAATAGGAAGTCAATAGTGCATAAATAAGGAAACACTTTTCAAAATGTAAATACAGCAGCAATTTCCCTCATCAAAAGTTTTCAAATACCATCTTTCACCATAACAGTTTCAAAATCAGCCCTCTAGCCTTTTTTGGTCATAATCTGAAGAACTTGAGAAAAATTAACTAAAATAGACTATTTATTTTAAACTTTACAAACTATAACTACCTGTCCCTAGGTCCAAAGCCAACAGAGAAAATTCAAAATAGATGAGAATTTAGGTAAAATAATAAGACAATTAGGATAAATCCCTTCTTGATATAGAATGAAAAATTAAAATTAAAAGTCATTTAAAATTTATTTAAGTC